GAGCCGGAGCCGGCACGGCACGGCCCGGACTCGGCTAACGAACTTCGGCATTTCCCTCCCAAAGAAAATTGAAAAGACCCATATTCCTTTTGTAGTCGATCGGTTCCCATGGAGGAGATGGCGCGTGAATAGGTGAGGCTCGGTCCCAGGCCCCTGCACACGAAAGATACAGCATCATTCATAAATTATCCGAGCCAGAAAGGAAAAACACGTGCAAAAAGAAATCTTCGTACTTAGATTCTGATCACCCAGAGTAAAAATCGATTTCACGATTCACGCGTTGACATCGCGCCATCCGGTTCAAGCCTGGTTGAGTCTTAGTACTGGCCTTTTTATTTCTTCGTCGCGCCACTCAAGAGCCGGAGCTGGCACGGCACGGCCCGACTCGGCTAACGAACTTCGGCATCTCCCTCTCGAAAAAATTTGTCGAGACCCAGGTGCCTTTTGTAGTCGATCGGTTCCCATGACCATGGTCATGGAAGAGATGGCGCATGGACCGGGATAAGGATAAGCGAGGTTTGGCCCCTGCGCACTAAAGATGCAGTCTCATACACCAAGACCCAGAAAAAAAATTAACTAATTTTTTTTAAAAAAGTTGGGGACAAGTACGAAATTCTTCTTGACTCAACCGTCCCACCGCGTTCCTGACGCGTTTCGCACTCCATGCCGAAATATGACCCCAATTTTTCTTTTCTGAATTCCACACCAAATCACGCACCCCCATCCGCGGGTTCCCGGTTGAATCTTGCTTCCTAATAGTACTGCTACTGCTACTGGTCTTTTCATTTCTTCATTTCTTCGTCGCACCGTTTGTCAAAAAGGCGCAAGAGCCGGAGCCGGCACGGCACGGCCCGACTCGGCTAACGAGCTTCGGCATCTCCCTCTCGAAAAAATTTGTCGAGACCCAGGTGCCTTTTGTAGTCGATCAGTTCCCGTGACCATGGTCAGGAGGAGATGGTGCATGGACCGGGATAACTTGTAAGCGAGGTTTGGCCCCTGCACACCAAAGATACAGTATTCATAAATTATCCGAGACCCAGGAAAAACACGCGCAAAAAGAAAATCTTCGTAGACCCTGATTGTCCTAGAGTAAAAATCCGACATGCCGAAAAATCCCCACAAAATCCCCGAAAAAAATCCTCCCCTCCAAAACCCCCCAAAAAAAAATTAACCCAAAATCCACACCCAAATCACCCCCCTAATCCGTTTATTCAATCGCGGGTCCCCGGGGTCTCGTGTCTGTCTGTCTGTCTGACTGTCTGTCTGTCTATCTGTTTGTGTCTTAATCTCAGCCACATGTATCCTTATCCCTATCTCATCAATCAATCATGTTTCATTTCATCGGATTCGGGGCGCGATCGCTGCGCATGGTGCGTTGCATCACGCGGCTGCCTTTGCATGGCATGTATGTACTTTGGATATATTGGGTATATTGGGTATGGATGTACTTGGTCATTTAATGTTTCAGTTTGGATAATATATTGTCCGGACTGGCACCCATAGTTTGGGCATGACCCCTCCCTATCCTTTTGAGGGTTGAGACAAGGGAAAGGCATTAACAACAGCATTTTTTTCGATTTTTTAATCTTCTTTCTTTGTCTAGGGATATAGCAGGCAATGAGAGGTGGGTGGGAACCATCAGAGATAGAAGGAGGAAGGAGGAGGGTGTTTCATCATGCTGATTTTGGTTAGATTGACTGCGGATAAGGAGGGGGCATGTGGTTGGTGTGCCTGAAAAAAAATGTGAGAAAAATAGGGTGAGTTGGTATAAAAGGAGAGGGGAGATGAAGGAGACATGAGACAAGACATGAGTGGGATGTGTGTGGGAGGAAGCTGAAGAAGGGAAGGAGAGCAAGGAAAGGATGAGGCAGACAAAAGAGAGGGACATACACTTGCAACCGGAAATCCGCGTTCCAAGCAACGGGGGCTTGAAGATTAAGATTGAAGATTGAGGGTGCGGGTGCGAGTGCGAGTACGTAGAACGAAGCCAAAAAAGCAGTTAGCAAGCACGTAGGGAGCTTCGGTCGGGTCGGGTGCGAGACGAGGCGAGGATTTGCGCGATTCGATTCGATTCGGGCCGCTCCCAACCAAGCTTCGTCGAGACGCATCGTGGCCGCCTCGAGGCCTCCCTCGCTCTCATACTCCCATACTCGCTCCCGCGTTCGGGTCGAGTCAGTCGAGCCAAGGCCGTATAATCGATGTCGATAAGAGAGAAGTGGGAAGCGGGAAGCGGGAAGAGAAGAAGAGAGACGGACGGTGGCAGTCAAGAGAAGAGGAAGAGTTTCATGGACAACTCGACATCTCGACAATGTCCGAGCTAGACCGCATCCGGCTCAAATGTTCTCATCCCCACCGGCACCGGCTATTGCTGCGTACCCGTCCCGGCCATCCGTTTTAGCGCCTGTAATCACGTCCTCCTCTGCGCGACTCTCTTGGCCCCTGCAAATCATACCAGGCCCGCTCTTTCGCCGCGAAATGCACAAGTCTACCACCCCTGCGGCGTTACCCCAGTCTCTTCACAATCCTCCCTTTTTATGCGGGTTTTAGGCTTTAGGACGCGGTCAAGAGAATCGGAGCCCCGTCCCGCTTCGCGCTTGTTTTCAGTGCGATGACGCACTGGAATGCAAAGGCTGGATTGGAGGAGGAGCCCCTAAGCCCCGTACCCGAGCGCGTCTCCTGATTCACATGCCAGTGGATCCTTAAAATACCTCCTGTGCCGGGTCGGGTCTGGGTCTGAATACGACTTGAACTTGGCTTGAACGCTCCTTTAACTCCACAACGACGACGAGACGACGCTAGGTGAAGCGTTCGGTATACACTAGAGACGCACGCGAGAAACGGACGCAGCGGAGACGAAGATCATCGCCGACTAGTTCACTGTAAAACCGAAGGATGTCGCGCTCGGGGAACAAACAGCCCGTGGGGTTCGCGACGCATATCACGGCGGGCGGGATCGCGGGCGCGTGTGAGGCGGTGAGTGCAGGTTCCGTTTGGTTCGAGGCGTTTCTTCGTTATGCGACGGGCGAGTTGCGTGGGGCGTTTCTTTCCTTGCGTTTCGTTATGCTGGGCGGGCCGCGTATATTTGCAGGAGCCTTTCCTTTCCTCGCGTTTGGTTCTCTAGCAAAAACGGCGCGTACTGACTCTTACTTTTGCGCGTTTCCAGCTAGCATGTCAACCGCTCGACACGATCAAAGTGCGGATGCAGCTCTCCAAGTCGGGGCGCACGCCGGGGGTAAGTGCTCTCGCTTTATTTCATCCTACGGAAGCGCTGACGTCCCCCCACAGACAAAACCCCGCGGCTTCCTCGCCACCGGCGCCCTCATCGTCCGGCGCGAGACGCCCCTCGCCCTCTACAAAGGCCTCGGCGCCGTCCTCTCCGGCATCGTCCCCAAAATGGCCATCCGCTTCGCCTCGTTCGAGTCCTACAAGACCTGGCTCGCGGATCGCGAGACGGGCAAGACGTCGACGGGGGGCATCTTTTTGGCGGGGCTGGGGGCGGGGACGACGGAGGCGGTGGCGGTTGTTACGCCGATGGAGGTGGTGAAGATTAGGTTGCAGGCGCAGATGCATTCGTTGGCGGATCCGTTGGAGACGCCGAGGTGTGTTTTTTTTTTCGTGTTTGAAAGAGGGACGCTCTTTAAAATCTGATGTTTTTGCGACGTGTAGGTATCGCAATGCGGGACACGCGGTGTATAAGATTGTGAGGGAAGAGGGCGTGGGGACGCTGTATCGCGGCGTGAGCTTGACGGCGTTGAGGCAGGCGACGAATCAGGGTAAGTCGCGTCGATCTTGGCTATATTTCTTGTGTTTCGAGAGGCGGGGCATTGGACAGAGACGCGCCTATGTGTCGGTGGGACGCGTTTATGTCGAGAGCGTGTATGCGCGTACGTTCTGCGTGCGCGTTGACGTACACGTCCCGTCTATCTCCTATCTCCTTCTTCCCTCTCCCCTCCCTCTCCCCCCTCCCTCTCAACCCACTAACCCCCTCCCCAGGCGCAAACTTCACCGCCTATCAAGAGCTCAAGAAGCTCGCGCACCGGCTGCAGCCCGCGCTCGAGGGGGCGGAGCTGCCGAGCTACCAGCATATGTTGATTGGGCTGATCAGTGGGGCGATGGGCCCGTTTTCGAATGCGCCGATTGATACGATTAAGACGCGTGAGTGGGGGGTTTTTTTTTCTTCCCATGATATATATGAATGATGAGCGGAACGCTAACTACGCCTATTCGACCACATAGGCCTCCAACGCTCCACCGCAGAGCCCGGGTCGTCGGCGTTCCAGCGCATCGCGAGTATTGCGCGCGCGATGTGGCGTGAGGAGGTTAGTCGTCTCGCTTGCGTCGTTACGTGTTTCTGACTTGCGACTCGTTTTTTCTCTCCCTCGCCTCCCCAGGGCGTAGCCTCCTTCTACAAAGGCATCACCCCGCGCGTCCTGCGCGTCGCGCCGGGGCAGGCCATCGTCTTTGCGGTCTATGAGCGGGTGCGCGCGGGGATGGAAAGGGTGGGGGAGAGGGTGAGGGAGGATGATGGGTACAGTGAGTAGGTCTTTGGGGATTAGAGGGTATAAGAGGGATGGCTTTATGGGGGCGGTGGGAGGGGAAGGGAAGGGGAATTGGGTGTGATGGGAAGGGATGGGGAGTTGGGTGTGATGGGAAGGGATGGGAAGGGAAAGGACTGTGTAATGTAATGGGTTATGACGGTAAAAAGAAGTGAAGCACGCAAAGTAGATAGATGGTACGGATACGAGCATGGAGATGATGATAATTTCTTGTTGGTGGATAATTTATTATGTTCTTATTCGGAATTTGGGCTCGAATAGTAGGCGCTTTTGGGACCAGACTTGAAGTTTCGGTCCCTCGGTTGCGGGACTTGAAAGGCAGTAGGATAGGGCCATGAATGCCTTTGCATTCACCTTGGGTTTTTATTTATTTATTTTTTAGAAAAAAAATAAATAGAAAAACCAGTACTATTGAGAGAAAAAAACCATTTAGATTCCAGTGTATGATCTGACCCGGATTCGAACCGGGGTCATCTGTTTAAACTTTTTCCGCCTAGTTGAATTCGAACAGACGCACTAACCAACTGTGCTATCAGGTCATTGTGAGACTTCAATTATTCGACTCTGAGGGGTATTATGGTACAGGGATCATGAGCGTACATCGACCCGAGATCAGAAGGAAAACTAGTTCTCTGAGCGAAGTCTGAATCACGACGGAGGGGCTTGCTAGGTTCAAGGTTGTGATTTTGTTGAGATTGCTCGGTCGTACGGCAAAAGAAACTGAAAAAATTAAAAACGAAAGTAGATAGATCTATGACCTGACCCGGGTTCGAACCGGGGTCATCTATCAACAAAGCTTCAGCAGATAGTAACTTCAACAGACACACTAACCAACTGTGCTATCAGGTCGTTGCAAGACTTCAATTATTCGACTTTGAGGTGTATTTATGGTACACTGCATCGACTCGAGATCAAGATCAAAAGGAAATTCAATACTCTGAAGAGCTATGAGTCACGCAGGGGCGACGACTTTCTAGGTTCAAGGTTGTGTTGAGATCGGTCGGATAGATATATTATCTCGGTCGTACGGAGTACGGCAAAAGAAATTTGAAAATTTGAGGGAAAAAAAACCACGAGTCGACTTCGAGATGACCTGACCCGGGTTCGAACCGGAGTCGTCTGCTGACTTGTCTCAATGTCTCATGCTACAATTTGAACAGACGCACTAACCAACTGTGCTATCAGGTCGTTGCATGGTTTTAATTATTCGACTTTGAGGTGTATTATAGTACCAGAGTGCCTAGTGACAGTGACTCGAGATCAGAATTCGAAGTACTTACTTTGAATCTGAGATCGGTTGGTTGCACAACTGTTGAACACACGGGGAAAAAAATCAAACAAAACTCCATCACAGACCTGACCTGGGTTCAAATCGGGGGTCTTCTGTTTATACGGCGAAACACGATTAATTAGCAATTTGAACAGATGCACTAGCCAACTGTGCTATCAGGTCGTTGCATGGTTTGAATTATTCGACTTGGAGGTGTATTATGGTAGAGGAACGCAGATGGACTGCCTCTTGTGTTCAAGTTGGAGGTGATATCTGCGAAACGCGAAGGCGATAGAGACTGCCAGGGAGAACTGTCGAAATTAAATTACAACGACAGTGCAAGTACAGTAACGACGGATACACCGAGGAGCGAGGTTGTGCTGAGATTGGTGGTTGCACGCCCAAAAAAAATTCAGCAACACATTCCAATGACCTGACGCGGGTCCAAACCAGGGTCTTCTGTTTATAACGAGAACTTCAACAGATGCACTACTATCAGGTTGTCGACTGCGTATCGACAAACCATCTTTGACAATCGATCAGATTCAGATTTCCAGAGGTGAAGGCGATACGTTCTGATACTGCTCGGAATCCTGTGGTGAAGGGGTATGATACGTTTCGTACAGGCACCGATGAAGATGAAGATTTCCGGTGAGTTTCTTCACAGGGGATACGTTTGTTGGACCAGATAATTTGGCTCGATACTGGTGCTAGTGAGGGAAATTATTAAAATAAAAGAAAAAGAAACTAAAATATTACGCAATCTTTCGGGGATCTCGGGTATCTATTTGAGGGTATTCGGAAGCATCAGAGCTCTTTGCCAAACAACACCACCTCTGATCTCGATACTGAAATAAAGCGCCAAAGATACTATACATGGATCCAAAAACTCCGAAAAAAAGGCTGACTACCCTTTGAATGGCTGAAGATCTCCCCCAAATATTTCCAGATTTTTCTCCGCGCTGCGCGCAGCATATAAGATGCCCTCGATACCGAGCGGAGTTTCAGATACTGAGCGGACTCTTAATTCCACCCAAATAGGGAAGTGTTCCAAAACTCGGCCAGTTTGAAGCCATTTTTTGTGCAAAATGCTTGAACTAAAGTGCATACGGCTACTCCTCATCAGTAGGGATTCATCTAATGAGCTCTTCTGTCTTTAATTCACAGTTATTTGCTTTTTCCACGTTGGTTCTACGACATCTACAATCTACCTGGCTAAAACCATGAGATTTGTGAATCTTCAGTGTTCAATATGTGGCTAGCCTTTCTCTGGGCTTCAGTCATGCCATTCTTGACAGAATTAGAGGCGAAATGAAGGACAAAATATCTCATTTGAACAAAACTCCTTTAATGGGCTGTTCAACTCAGAATTGGTTCATTTTAATACTCCGAGAGCTGGCAATAAACTCCAAAGAGAACATGGGGTTTCTAAGTGCAAAATTTCCGTTTTATGTGTCTTTTGAAGGGAGCAGGGTACCAAAAACGGGAGAAATAGTGTTCTGTCACTGCTGAGGCTCGAACTCGTGCGCATCATTTCCTGATGACAAAGATTTGAAACTCCGCTCAGTATCAGTATCAGTATCGATCACTAGCATGAGTATCGAGCCGATAATTTTCGCTAAAACCACATCATTTCATCGGCCCGAAAAGCCGAAAGCCGATTTCCAGTGCTGATGACTATCTTTGTCGTTTTCTCAGTTGCGGGCGGTGACGGTTTGAATGATTCTCGAGTGCTGTTGATGCTGTCGACGAGCTGTTGGATGATAATCTGACTCCCAGCGCAGACAACAGCCATTATTGGAGATCACGTAGCAGACAATAACTATCAATTCTCCCGAGGAACGAGTCAGCGCGATGCGCACCCGAGCAGGGGAGTTGGTGGGATCCGGGTAGCATGCAGCTAGAGGTGTAGGTAGAGGTAGTAGACAGAGACAGATTGCGCCAGCTACCCGGTAGATATACGTGGGCCCAGAGCCTCCCAGGGCACGGTTCGGATAAGACATTCAATTAATGAAGTGAATGTCAATAGATTCGGATTCTCCAAAGTTCATCCAAGAATTCATCGTGGAGAGTAATATCCAGCAGAGTCTCCTGGAATCTGGCTCTCGCTGGCCCGTGCGCACTGCGTGGTCTTCGGGGTTCGGGGATCGGAGGAGTGGGGATGGGGAAAAGCGATTCGAAGCTCAACGGAAGCTGATGTGATTGATCGCCGCATATTGCTTTCGCGTCTTCTTTAACCCTTTGTTAATTTATTATTCAATTTTTGAGCGGGTGGTCAAGGGCGGGTGATGACCGCCACAGGGAAAAAAAAAACCCTCTGTATGGTATGGAGAGAACAAAGGATTTCCGGGAATCGGTCTAAGTGCGCAGGATTGATTCCATCGAGGAAGGGCGCCTAGCCGTAAGTGGGAAGCTTAGATTCGAATCATGATGGTGAAGAATAATAATGCAGATGGGGCTAGGACAGCGCCGATGAGTGCTGGGTGCTGGGACGACGAGGGGACGAGTTGTTACAAGGGTGAATACAAAGAGTACAAGAGCATAGAGCGCACGAAACAGTGACTGTGACGTGACGTGACTGTTCAACAAGCATCAACAGGACCGCTGAAATCTGTATTCACCTTTCACGCGTCTTACACTATGGCTTCATGGGTTCCTCAGCCACAGGGCCTCCAGGAGGTCCTCCAGACCCTTCACGAGTCAACAGACATGAACGTCGCTGTACAAAGAGCAATAACCCAGGTACACCTCCTTTGACCGACGCAAAGGGTCCAAGCTGACTCGGACACCTCACAGAAACTAAATAATTTCACGCGCGCACCAGAGTACATCGCATATCTGGCCTATATTCTCACTGCAATGACCCAGGAGGAGGACCGCATCCGCACCATTGCAGGCTATTTGCTCAAGAACAACGCACGCCTCATCTTGACAGCCTCTCCAGAGGTCGGCGCCTATGTCAAAGCGGCGGTCCTTCAAGCTTTCAACGACGAGTCTCTTATGATTCGCAATGCCGCTGGGCAGGACGTTGTGGCCTTTCTGGGCCAGCTCGAGCCCCGCAATTGGCCAGAGTGTCTCCAGCAGCTCATGAGCACTCTGGATTCCACCGATTTGGACCGCCAAGAGGTGTGTGGCGTGAACATGAATAATTGGTTTGTGTAATTAACCGTTGGTTTGCAGGCTGCCTTCAATGTCCTCGAAAAGGCCTGCGAGGACTACCCCAGAAAAATGGACGTCGAGATCAACGGCACTCGGCCCCTCGATTTCATGATCCCAAAGTTCCTCATGCTCGCCGACCACCCCTCCGCAAAGATGCGCTCCCATGCTATCGCCTGTCTATCGTACTTTGTCCCCGTCGGCTCCCAGTCCCTCTTTGTCCACCTCGACAACTTCATCGCCACCCTCTTCAAGCTCGCTTCGGACGACGACCCTCCGTCCGTCGCCATGTCTGCCAGGCCCTCGTCCTCCTGCTCGCCGCTCGTCCCGAGAAGCTCATGCCCGAGATGGCTAATGTGGCGGAGTATATGCTCTATTCCACTAAGGACAAGAACGAGAACGTCGCCCTCGAGGCCTGCGAGTTCTGGCTCACCTTCGCCGAGGACGCAGACCTCGCCGTCCACCTCCACCCGCTCCTCGGCAAGGTCGCGCCCGTGCTCCTCGACTGCATGATCTACGGCGAGGACGACCTGCTGTGGCTCGAAGGCGACGCGGAGGACGCGGCCGTCCCAGACAAGGACACGGACATCAAGCCGCGCCACTACGGCGGCGGCAAGTCGCACGGGCTCGAGCGCGACGAGAACGGCAACGCTGTCGCGCAGCCGCCCAAGTCGCGCATCGGCGCGTACGGCGAGGAGACGATCGACTCGGATGAGGAGGACGATTATGACCTCGATGACGAGGACTTTGCGGACGAGATGTCGACGGAGTGGAATCTGCGCAAGTGCGCGGCGGCGGCGCTCGACGTGCTCGCGGTCCGCTTTGGCGGCGATCTGCTCAATGTCCTCCTCGGCCCGCTGAAGGAGAAGCTCTGGAGCAGTGATTGGCTCCAGAGGGAGAGCGGGATTTTGGCGTTGGGCGCCATGGCGGAAGGTTTGCGTTTTCTGGCTGTTGTGCTAGCTTTTATGAATGCGCGACTGACATGAGGTGTAGGATGCATCGAGGCGATCGAGCCTCATCTGACCACCCTTGTTCCGTATCTCATTAACACTCTCTCGGATCCCAAGGTAAGCATCTTGCTGTAAATAATCCCGTGCGGATATTAATTATGCGCATTACAGCCCCTCGTCCGCTCCATCACCTGCTGGACGCTCGGCCGCTATGCGAGCTGGACGACGCAGCCGATCTCGGAGGAGCACAAGAACCAGTACTTTGTGCCCACCATGGAGGGCGTGAGTCCATTTATTATATCATCGTAAAACCATTGACGACCGCGCCACCAGCTACTCCGTATGGTCCTCGACAACAACAAGCGCGTGCAAGAAGCCGGCTGCAGCGCTTTTGCTACGCTCGAAGAAGACGCCGGGCTCGAGCTCGCGCCGTACCTCGAGCCGGTGCTGCAGAACCTCGTCATCGCGTTCGACAAGTATCAGCACAAGAACATGCTCATTTTGTATGACGCCGTCGGCACGCTCGCGGATGCGGTCGGAAGGGCGCTGCAGAATCCGAGATATGTGGAGATTTTGATGCCGCCGTTGACGAATCGGTGGGCGCGGCTGAAGGACGATGAGAGGATTTGATCCCGCTGCTTGAGGTGCGTTCTCTTTCATTCTATTTCCTTGGGTGTGTGCTGATGGATGATCCCCCGCACAGTGCCTCGCCTCGGTCACAATCGCGATCGGCGTCTCCTTCCTGCCCTACGCGCCGCCCGTCTTCGAGCGGTGCAACAACATCATTCACACCTCGCTGCTCAAATATCAGG